CTCCTGTTCTTATCATGCCATCCTCTGAAGGGGTTGCCCAAATTGCCAATAAGGAATAGGGATGCCAGCCATTCTGGCTTCTTCCATGCTGAACAGGGATGCAGTGTGAGGTGCAATTGGAGTACACTTTCAGTGGGTCTATCTAAAAGACTCCCAAATTGCATAACTCTTGTTTCTAAGGGGAAAAGAAAGTCCTTGAATCATGAATAGGGGATGTGAAGGAGAAGTAAAGGCAAGAGTAATTACCATTACAAGTTCTAGACAGGGAACTAGAAAAAAAGTCAGAACAGGGCAATTTTCTTTTTTTCTTTCTTTTTTTGGTCTTTTTGAGACAGGGTCTCCCTGTAGCCCCAGCTATCCTAGAACTCACTATGTAGACCAGGCTGGCCTTGAACTCACAGAGATCCGCCTGCCTCTGCCTCCAGAGTGCTGGGATTAAAGGTGTGCACCACCACGCCTGTCATAATGGCAATTTTCAAATGTTCATGTGAAAGTCCATTGGAGTTTCTTGACAAGGGCTTCCAAAAGCATCCCTCCATTGGGTTGTTCCTCATTTTTCTTTTGTCTTCCAAGGCTGGATACTTAGGTGAGGTGACCCTGCTTGATGTTTTATGAATGAGTACAACCATCAGCAAGCCCAGTTGTGACTATGTTTAGTGATCAGGCTCAGCCAAAGTCATGATGATGGTAGTTATTCCATGCAGAAGGGACTGCTGTATAGCATCTTCTTATTAAAAGGACCACCACGTGGAGGCAGGATCTGGGGGCTGTCAGGCTGTCCCCTGGGTTCTCAGGCCCTCTGGTAGTTGGAGGCCAGAACCCGGCACTCTCTGGTGGTCTGCTAAGCTCCTAGCCACTATCCCAGTGGAGGTCCGAACCCACCCTCTCAGGCTGTCCAGAACAGGGCACTTTTCAAATGTTCATATGAGAGTCCATTGAAGTTTCTTGACAAGGGTTTCCAAAAGTATCCTTCTATTGGGTTCTTCTTCATTTTTCTTTTGTCTTCCAAGGCTGGACTAGTTGGCTGGGAAGAGTGGCTGGATATTCAGGTGAGGGTCCAGTGACCCTGTTTGGCACTCTTTTAATGAATGAGCACAACCATCAACAAGCCCAATTGTGACTATGTTTAGCGATCAGTCTCAGCTGAAGTCCTGATGATGGTAGCTATTTCATGCAGAGGGGACTGCTATATATCATCATCTTATTAGAAGGATCACCACATGGAGGCAGGATCTGGGGGCTGTTACGCTGTCCCCTGGGTTCTCAGGCCCTCTGGTAGTTGGAGGCCAGAGGGAGGACAGAACCCCACACTCTCTGGCAGTCTGCTGAGCTCCAAGCAGCTACCCCGATCTTTTGGTCTTTTTGAA